AAATAGATTTATAAGATGTTTTGGTCATACCAGGCTGCTATTAAATTAAAAATAAAAAAAGAACAATGGGATTGTCGAACCACAAATGCAAATCCTAAAGTGTAGACAAAGAAGATAAGAGAAAAAGAATTATCGAAATAACTAATCTCATCATGTTTCAACGGCCAGAATTGTTCTTTTTTTATCAAAAGGCTTCACAGATCACAGTCACAAATACTTCGTGAATTTACAGTAATACCCTGTTAATAAATAAGTAAGATAGAGAAGGAAAAGAAAAATAATTAACAAAATCACTAACCATATCATGTTTCAACGCCGGAATAGTTCTTTTTTTTTTGGGCCGAAACACCGGAATAGTTCACAAAACGCATTAGTTATATATCTTGTGATTCATACAGAGCCTATCAAACAAACCACCAGAACCTAAATTTAATTTTACAATACAAATTGCGATCAAAAAACAGCATGAAATTCAATTAAATCAATTTTTCAAAAAAAAAAAAGCCAAACTAATGTCATAACTCTATTCAACCAAGAACCCATTACCAATTCCACACAGGGAAATCAAAGACTGGATCAATTCCATCAAGCAAAGAATAAAAGTTTTGTGCAATTACAAGGATAAAAATGGTCGGGTTTATCAAAGAAGCCGCTGAGCCACAGAGATAGGAAAGGAGCAGAGAGAGGGGAGAGGGAGAGGGAGACATACCTGGGCAGCGTCGATGGCGGTGCGTGAAAGGACATCGTAGCAGTTTCGTTATGGTGAGGCAGTGATGAGACAGAGGATGCGGAGAATGATGAGAGAGAAGAGAAGAGAAGAGAGGGGTGGCGAGAGAAATAGGGGAGAGCGGAAAGATATCGTAGATGTTGGTGGGTGTTGGTGAGCTGTGAGTGGCGGCCGATACGGTGAAGAGAGTTGAGGAAGAAGAGAAGAGAGGGGAATAGTGTCTGTGTTGTTGAAAAAGGTGAAGAAAGAAGAGAGAAGTGAGGGAGAGGAGAAGAGAAGAAGAGGGAGAGAGAAGAGGGGCGGGTGAAGAAAGAAGGGTGTTGGGCACAGAGAGAGAGAGAGAGAAACAATTGAATTGGGTGTGAGGGAGAATATTTGGGTGTGAGGTCTAATTGAATTAGGAAAGCAGAGAAGAGAGAGAGAGCAGAGAAGAGAGAAGTATTTGGATTTGGAAAGCAGAGGAGAGAGAGAGAGAAGTATTTGAATTTGGAAAGCACATGGGAGAAGATCCGGTAGGCAGAGGGGAAGATTTGGTGATGTCTTTATTCGGCGCGATTTAGGTCAAGGAAAAGGGTAAATTATATTTTGTACCTTTAAAGATTTAATATTTCTTATTTTATAACTTCAAAAATTAAATTTTTCATATTTTTCCTTCAATGTATTAAAAGTTATTGTAATACAGTTTTGATGTTAATTTTAGCTACTCATTCCGTCAATTTCAATAAAATAATTTTGACGAAATAAGCAACTAAAGATAACGGAAGTACCATATTACAATATTTTTATTACATTGAAGGTATAATGTAAAAAATTTTATTTTTGAAAGTATAAAATAAAAAAACTTAAATCTTTCATAATGCAATGTGAGATTCTCCCAAGTAAAATGAAAAGTTTATTTTCAAATCGATGTAAGATCTATTTTTCTTCCATGAAGTGTGGGCTAGTTGGCAAAGGTTGCAACCCATGGGTCGTTTTTAAGGCCTAGGGTCCATCGAGATGTGTGAGAGAATGTCGACATTAAATAATAACAAAAATTGTATCCATGTCCACCCTTGGGCCAAATGGTATCATCTAACCTTTTTTTAGGAAAGAGTTAGGCATTCAGTCGGGTCAAATTCGGGTCGGGTAGACAATTAGGGGGCCAAACCATGACTTGGTTGAAGATTGAGGATTCTTTTTTTTATATTTCTTTGTCGTTGAATTTATGGACTCGATTTTCTTTTGTCCCTTGAGTTTTGACATTATCTCTTAAATTATTTAAATTATTTTACATTACACAAAATACAAACGATTGCCTTCTTTTTGATAGAAATTGTTAAGTTTTGGATAAAGTAAAAAAAATCACATTTTTCGGAAACAAAAAAAGTAAAACAATTTTTTTTTAAATTTATAACGAATGTTAATCGTTGAGACGGTGTGAAACTAATCACATGGTCAAGTGTATGGTGTAAAATAAATGATATTTAAGGGACAATATTTAAAAAGAGTCATAGTTAAGGGGACAAAAATATAATTTACTCTTGTTATAATCACACATAGTTTATAATTTATACCAGCTCATCACGATAAAGTTGACATCTAAATTTCAACATTAAACTTGAGAGGGCACATTACAATTTTTGAAATTTGGAGGGTAACCTCCTCAAATCGGTGCAAATAGTGAGGCTGTTATTGTAATTATCTCCCCCTTCTTAGGGTTAGCGTTGGTCCTTATATAATCCACTTAGCCATCCAATTCTAGGGTTTGTGAGCTAAAGAACAGAAATAGGGTGTTTGGATGGCCGAATAAAGGTGGATACATAATGTTAGATTGGATAAATAAGTTGTGGGCCCCATTTATCCTTACTTTAGCAATGCATTTCGATGATGTATATTCGTAGCTTTTCAAAAACTACGGTCGTAGTGATTCAGCCCAATGTTATTAGAACCGGACCAGTCGTTGAACCGGTAAGGGGACCAAATCAATGGTTCACTGGTTTAACAGTTGGGTCAATTGGTCGGACCGGTCATATGATAAAAAAAAAATACATATATAATAGTTATAAAACATAATAATTTAGCTAAAAAATATAAAAAAATGTCTAAAATGCATACAATTTGCCATAAAATTTATGAAGTAAAAGAAACACGTGTCAAATATCAAAATCAAAGTTCAACTTTAAAGCTTTAATCCAAGGACATAACAGAACAATCACTCCAAGTTCAAACCCCAAACCACAATTTCTACTAAATTTGAAAGTTTACATAAGAACAAACCCATTTTGTCTGAGTTCACTTACCTAATTTCAACAATTTTCAGACTCAGGATACCAAATCCAATAACTATGAAATATACTAGAGGGAAGAGAGAGAGAAGAACCTTTAGGTTTTATAGCGATAAAGAAAAATGAGGGACAAATAAGGCAAAAACCATTCTCTCAATCTTGAAGCAATAGCGGCAGCACCACCGTAAGCAACAACGGCAACATCACCTTAACCATTCTCCATGAAGGGAGGATTGAAACCCCCCACAGACATTATCATTGCTACCAAAACCTTCAGTTGGGCAGTAGTGTTCAACATTGCAAGGACTAATAGCATTTGAAAAATAGGCATGAAATCCAAACTCAAGATTATTTGGGTCCAATCCAAATCTATTAATACCGAATAAATCATCTTGTTCATTCCCAATATGCATTTTACAGAGAGTTTTTCGACAAACCCAGTTCATCCAACCTATTTTCCTGCTCATCAGAGTTCTTGAAAACCAAAGAGTCTGAGTATGTAGTACTTGGTGTTTGATACATAGTCTCATGAAACAGGGTTACAGATGGCGATGAAACGCCACTAGAAGTACCAAACCCACCAGAGAAAGAATCTAAACAAATAGGTGAAAGTTTCTCTCAATGTGACCTATCTCTACCTTAGAAGAAGCAACAACAGCACCACCTTAAGCAAACTGCCGCGTAAAGCTCTCTAATGGGTTTTTGTAATTTGAGGAGAGAGAGGGGGTGGAGGGCTCGTTGGTCGCCTGAGAGTGTGGTGGTGCTTCTGCGATTTAGGGAAAAAGAAATGGCCCAAATAAATGGGATTTAAGTCATTTGTCTTCAAACCGTCTGATTTTTATAAAAACCGTTGGTTCACGATTTTTTATAAATATCTACCAGTTTTTCGATTTTTAGCCGACTTTCTTCCTTATGCGGTTTGATTAGAGAATCGGACCAGTTAAGGCCCCGGGTCACGGTCCGACCGGTCGATCAGGTTCGATTTTGATAACACTGATTCAGCCCCTTTATCCCCTCTCATATGGACAAAGAAATCCCACCAAAACTTTGGGATTTATTTTCGAGCAATGCTATTGGGACATAATTTGGAGGAGTAATGCTATTGGGACATAATTTATGGACATAATGAATTGTCACCAATGATATGATAATGAATTCATTTCATGCTACAGTGGGACCCATCATTAGATACATTTCACTATCATTTCATTAGTGACAATTCATTATGTCTTCAAATTATGTCCCTAAATTATGTCTCAATAGCATTAGTGAATTTGGAAACATAATGAGTTGTAACCAATGATATGATAATAAATTCATTAATGCTACAATGAGACTCATCATTAAATGTATTTCACTATCATTTCATTGATGACAACTCATTATGTCCCTAAATTATGTTCTTCAATTATGTCCCAATAGCATTAGTGTTCTTTTTCAGCCAACAGGATACAAATCCTATTTTATCATTTCACCCCTGCCCAGCACAAAAGTTAGGGTTTTTTAACCTCCTCTCCCCCTTTTGCACTAGTCCCCAACGAAGAACGGCGCGAACTCCTCCCATTGGCAAGGTATGTTTTCTCTCTCTCTCTCTCTCTGAGACAATATATATACGTAGACATATATATTTTGGAGAATTTTTGTTGTATTAGTGGACTTGTGTTTGAGGTGGTTGGGCCAGTGAATTGCGACGGTACAATTGTGGTCTCTTTTCCAGCGAGTAGGAGTACTTGTGAGAACAGATGTTTGAGTAATTGTTCATGCATTGGTTTATATCACCATGGAAGTACTAATCTTTGTAAGAATTTATTTGGGTCTGTCTTAAATCTTCAAAATCTCACTTTCGAAAACACAATTCAGGATGATTTATACTCAAGGATACAAAAAGGGAGTATCACAAAGAAAAACAAAGAGAAAACTTTGGTTTTGATTGGTACAATTTGTGGGTTTTTAGTGGTGTTGATGTTGGTGGTTGCAATTTTATTGGGTTGGAATAGATGAGGATCTAGAAGAGGAAGAGAGAAGAAGAGGAAGGTGTGTTTCCGATGACAAGGCTTGAAAGACCTGGTGGTGGTGAGCGAGAGTTTAAAGCAGAGGTGTGCACAATTGGGAACATTCAACATGTTAATCTTGTAAGATTAAGAGGGTTTTGTTATGAGAATTCTCACAGGCTTCTTGTTGATGATTACATGCCTTGTGGTCCTTTGAGTGTGTATTTGAAGAAGGATGGTCAAAGTTTGACTTGGAATGTTAGATTTCAGGTTGCAATGGGGACTGCCAGAGACATTGCCTATTTTCATGAGGAGTGTAGAAATTGTCTCATACAAAGTGGTAACCAACATTGATCAATTAATATGGTCAATTGTCAAGCCAAAAAGGAGATAGGATTGGATAGGATTCAAGGGTAAAATGGTCAATTAATATCAAAGGTATTAGATGTTTAATAAAAAAATGTAGTTTGTCCATATCCCAACCACAACATAATGCACTATCCAAAGCAGAGATTGGATAACACAAATTACTTTTATCCCCCTACAAACCCGGGTCACTGGGATTTCACAAGACTGATTTGGGATTTAAATCCAAGCCAGTCTAGTCCATCCATGAATTGCCAAACACCCCCGAAGAGGATACAGGCTCTGTAGCTGTACCTCGGCACCTTCTCCCCCTCGGTTCTCTCCTTCTCTCTCTCTCTCTTTGGAAAGCGCTCGCATCTCTCTTTACAGATCATACAAAGCAGTCCGACGAATGTGCCACCTCCATGGAACTTGAAAAAGTTCCATCTGAATCAAACCGTGTATCTTTTGCTTCAAAACCAAACTTTGCACCCTTGAAGGCTCACAAGATATTCGACGGTCAAGTTCAATTCAGGAAAGTCTCTGTACCACCGCATTGATATACACCTCTCAAGAAAGCGTGGATGGAAATTTACACTCATATGTACGAGCAGATGAAAATCGACATTCGTGTGAATCTCAAGGCTCGCAAGGTTGAATTGAAGACCAGATCAGGCACACCCGACATCAGTAACCTCCAAAAATGTGCTGATTTAGTGCACGCTTTCATGCTTGGATTCGACGTGATTGACGCCATTGCACTAATAGCCCAATTTCAACTAATACTTCAATTCACGGCACATTTAAAATTGCATAAAAAATTTGAAATGATAGAAAAAATACACCCAAACTCATAGTGTGTGTGTGTGTGTGACTGAGGAGTGGTTGCATGTGTGAATGCGTGCGGACAGTGTGAGTGTGTGTGATTGCTGGGGGGTTTGGGTGCACTGTTTATGTATGAGAAGAGTAGAAGGAGGGAGACGGTCGCACTATGGGAGTGGGTGTGGGTGTAAGTGTGATTTAGTGGGGATAAAATTCAAGTTCCATCCTGTTTTATTATATAGATAAGCCGAAAAAGTTCAAAACATTATTCAAATTTTGCTCATTTTCGTTTTCTAAACAAGTCAAATTTGAATTAATTTCAAAAAGAGGTGAACTTGAATTGAATTTGAATAGTTTGACTCTGCTCACAAACATGCAAAATGGTCTTATCAAGCAACAAAAACTAGTTAACCAAATGACAGTTAAGAGACTAACAGCAACTAAAAGAGCCCAAACACCACCAAAGGACCATCAAAACAACAGGGCAAGTGCAAGATTGCAGCCAAAATATACAGTTGAAGAGTGGTCCAGCGGCATAATACTGCCCCGTGAGAGTTTCGAACCAGGCACCTCCACATTAGAAGTGGTAAGGCCTCAGTCCTTGCCGCTAATGAGTTTACTGTAGATATAGGCTTAAGTATTTAAATGGATCAGAGTTTAAGACATATATATCGGGCCTTATATAAATAATTAAAATATATATGTATATTTTATCATTGTATTTTTATATGAAATTAATGTATACATAATATATAGACAAAATAAAATACATCTCAACACAAATAATTAATTTTTTATCTACTTTTCTTCCAATTTTGGTGAGTTGGAAGGAAAATTAATCCATCAACTTTTTCATCCTTCATATTTTTTAGTCTTACCAAACATGATGTTTTATTTATTCCTCCAATTTTTCATCCATCTAGCTTTTCATCATTTTATTTTTTCATCATACAAAACGGAGCATAAGACTCAATTGATATGCGGGATTTATACCACTTATGGAAAGGGCTCCCTAGTCATTTTCACTTTCGGGTATGCAAGTTCTGGCCCCTTTCTTCCCTCATGCGGTACTAGATGGGTTCAATTCTCATTAAGTGATCATTTTCTTATTGATTGTTAAGATAGACGTTTAGACAAGTTATTTGATATGATTTTTCTCCAAATTTGATTATTTCATCATATTATTTTATATGAATTCAAATTGCGATATTCCCTTTGTGTGTGTAAAACTAAGTGATTCTTTGGTGAAGTAAAATAGAAATTCAGCAATGATTATTCAAAATAACGTTCTCATTGAGTTATTCAGATTGGATTAAATTTTTAAGTCAAATTATTGATTTTTAATGGGGATGGATATGAATTATAAAAATAAAACCTATCATCTATTTTCAATTGACGTTTTCAAATCACATTTGGAATCGTATTGATTAAAATTCAAACTAAATCTCATTTATTTAGATGATTTTTTTCCTCTTTTTCCCCAATAAATCTATTTAATATTACGGTTAAAAAGTTAAATTCTCAATTTATAAAAGTATAACAATTGTCAATATTGATACAATTTTTATCTGTTTTGATCTAATAATAAAAGATTCATCCTAAATTTTTTTTTCCACTCAAAATCATCATTTTTTCTACATGGCCTCCAATGTCAGACAATGCAACACAACTAACACACTCTCTAGTGTCAAACAACCCTATTAATCCACACCCACTTCTCTTTTCTCTCTCCCCCATCGCTCTCTTATTTTCTCTTTTTCTTTTTAATTTTAAATTACGTAAACAAAGAAAAAAATATTATTATTTGAAATATAAAATATTATATAATTAATATTTAATTTTTGATATTACAAAATTTCTACCGACACGAAGTTATTGGTGGTACCTAAGATACTTGTTCAGGATTCAGATAGCCATGTCCCCAATACATGATTGGACAAGCAAAATGGCCCAAGCATCACAAGAAACAAAAAAAAAAAAAAAAAGCTTCCTCCTGGATGATGCTGAGGTCTGTTGACAGTAATCAAAGACTACATGATGTTTCCCATAAGTAGTTGAGCACTCACTTGTATATAATTTTAGTGTTAGCAGTCTCAAGTCATAATCAAATTGATTGGTCAAGCCCGCTTTAATATACTAATCGGTACAAACTTAATTATGCATAATATAAATCCAACGATCAGAAAAAAGTCGGGTTGAAGTTAGTGGATCAGTTTTTTTTTGGGTTCATGTCCAATAATATTCAATGTTAACTTATTAGTTTTCGTATTGTATTATCGTGTTGTGTCAAAAATAAAATTAAAAAAATAAAAGTAAAAGAAAATGAATGAATATGGAAAGCTCACTATCGAGTATATATATATAACCCTCTAGAACCCTAAGCTTTTGTTACCGTAAAAAGAAAAAGAGATTTCTATTGTAAAGGAACGGAGCTTTTCACATCCAATGAGAGTTTGCTAGCACCATGGGTGTCCAGCAATGGTGCTACCAAATAGGAATATAAACTTCGAAAATACAATGAAGAGAATAGTTGAAGAGAAGAAGTTACCGTGTAGAACAAGATACTTTGGTCTACCTAAATGAAGGAGCTCACTCATGGCCATAAGCCCCGTATTCACAACTAAGACTTGGGGCATGGGGGACAAATAACGAGCCTAGATCCAGACTAGGCTTGGGTCTAATTTGTGGATTTAACCCAAATCATCAAAAGACAAGTCATACTTAGCCTATGACTTTAGTTCAGTTCGAAACTCAACAGTTAATGCACGAAAGAGAGAGAGCAATCATCGGAATACACACGCAGAAAATCAATTATCAGGATTACTATTACTCCAAAATAGTACACATCTTTAATTGTAGCTAGCCTCCTCAATAAAGTAGTATCTTGACCCTCACGTTACCGCTTCCACCGGGACTCTACGCCTATAAATTATAAACCCTTTACACATAGAGACAGATCTCACACACCTCACCTTGAGCGTACTCTTGCTTTCTCTTTCTTCTACTTCCTTGTTCTCTCTCATTAATTGAGTTTTTCGGTCACCATTGCCGCCTTTAATAGTTAGATCGTCCAAACCTAACTATCTAATCTTTATCTCTTATTTTTAATTATTTTACACCATATACTCAACTGATTTGATTGTGCATAATCAGTTTTGTGCATTATCAAAAAGAATCCAAACAAAGGTTCTTATAATGTTTTGTATCCGACAAATATTATTTGTATTTATTTATTAACTTAGTTATTTATTATCATTAGGTTGATAATAAATTTTAATATTTTTTAAGATTTACAATCACTCAAATAATTATAAAAAATTAAATAATATTATTGTTTATGTGGTGGGCCAGAATTACAAGGGAATTTTGACAGTTGTGAAGTCACAAAAAAGAACAACTTTTGATGCTCTTTAGTTTAGGCTTGGGTTTTGATATAGGTCACTTGGTCTTTCAGTGTAGCCTACAAACACTGATTAGACGACACAAATTTAATACGGCATAATTTTAAAATTAATATAATTATGAAATATGTATAATAAATAATTTAAATTAATATTTGACACTTAAAAAATATGCTAAATTAATTATTTTTTTTGAGTTAATGGGCTTGACCATGTCTTTGCCGAAGGACCAACCCATCGAGCTTATCGGTTTGAAAATCACAACCTATGGTCTTTTCAGCTAAGTTAGAAGCTATCCATGGGCCATGGGCTGATGAGGCACAAGGCTAACAGGTTAGCCCCTGGGCACCGACAATTTGTTCAGCCTTAGGTATAATGATACACAGAGTTTCTCTCTCTCTCTTTTTTACAGCCTTAGTTATAATGATACAGGCCACCTAGGTCATTGCCTAGGCCCCAAATTGGGAAAAAAATTTAGGCCCCAAAAATAAAATAAAATAAACAATGATATATAATTAAAATTTTAGAATATAATTTAATTACACAATATATTTTAATCATTGAATTAATAGTGAGTTCTAGCTTTAAACAAACTTTACTATTTTATCTAATGTACTTGGTCCTCAAATTAAGAGCAGGTAACATTATTGTAAAATTTTTAAGACTTCTTTCAAAAAAATTTATGGGCTAAAAGTTCAACTTATTTTTTTATCTTACTCGATATTTATATTATATATATATATATATATATTATAACTTTGCAGTCTTATTATTAAAATCAATTGT